ACGTGAAGACTGAAGCGAATCTTCACTGAAAACTGCACGACAACGTGGCAGGAAGCAGTGAGCGAGCAGGAGGGAAAACAGGCTTTTCACCTGCCTTAACCTCTTCAAGTTAAGATAGTTTAGTTCTCTTGAAGTGAGGCTTTGTGGAAAGGTTATCAACAATGAACATCTTACCTGCGTAGGAAACATTTTTCCACCAACCTCAGTTTGAAGAAACAGTTTTAATTCTGATCGGCCTGACAAGCTAATGGCTATAACGCCAAGATCAACGGATTGGCGCTGCCTTAAAACAACCAATCTTTAAAAAAGTTCAGGCAAATCCTAATTTGCAAACATTTACATTAACGTCAATTTAGCATACCAATTATTCTGGCTCAAATATGATATTTTTCCTGGCAGTGCCTCAAGCTGCAGTGAAAGTGCTACAACTAGCTTCCACTGCCATTATTTGTGTACGCAAACAAACATGTAACTATGTACCGGTTATGTAAAACGGACAACAAAGCACAGGTTTCAAAAATACTAAAATAATCTATAATATTGGAAATTAGAGTTGTTTTAAGACGTCAGTAACCCACTGTGGTCTTTGTACCAATCAAACGTTGCTTTTCAATCTGCTCAAAAACAAGCACAACTAGAGAAATTACATTTCCTGCAAAAACACAGTGTGAATGCTTATTGCAGAAGAACTTGTTGAAAACAGTTGAAATTAGTTATAAAACCTGATGAAAAGTTGGTGAGATGAAAGAACAAGCCTCAAATATCAGAAGAACGCAGAAAGAACACATATTTGCTGAATTAGATTTAAGTAAGCAGAAATGAGCACAAAAATGTGGAAATCAGCTAAAAAAAGCAAAACAAACAAACAAACAAAAATAAAAATCTTAAAAGTAGCCAAAAAAGCAGAAAGACGTTTAACGTATGAGAAGGAAATGGAAAGAGTTGAAATGAGCTAAAAAATGTGGAATTAGCTGAAAAAGCTAAATTTGCATAAAAATAGATAAATAGTAGCTGAAATAGCATAAAAAGTCTAAATTTGCTGAAAAAAAGCCAAAAGGAGCATAACAAGCTGAAATTAGCCAAAATAAGACTGAATGTAGCAGAAATTACCAAGAAAATTTTGAAATTATCTGAAAACAGCTAAAATTAGCTGAAAAGGCAGAACTAGCTTAAATTAACATAAGAAAGCAGAAAGAACACGTTTGCCCAATTAGGCTGAAATAAGCAAAAATTAGCACAAAAAAGTGGAAATTGAATGAAGTTGAAATTAGCAACAACAACAACAACAAAAAACAGCTTAAAAGTAGCAACAACAAAAAAGAAGAAAAGCAGAAAGAAGCTAACACTACCAGAAGGAAGTGAAGAGAGCACATTTTTGCTCACTTAGGCTGAACAAAGTTTAAATGAGTGAAAAAAATGTGGAATTAGCTGAAAAAGCTAAAATTAGCATTGAATAGATAAATATTAGCTGAAAGAGCAGATAAAACAAAAATTTTCAGAAATAAGCTGAAAGGAGGATAACAAGCTGAAAATAGCAGAAAGAAGTTAGTAGAAGCACAAAAATGCTGTAGTTAGCAGAAAGAACATGAAGGGAGCACAAAACAGCTGAAAAAAATTCTGCTGAAAGTAGCTGAAAAAAAAGTGTAAATTTGCACAAGGAAGCTGAAAGAAGCTGAAGCAGAACAAAACGTGAAAGGAGCAGTAAAAGGTTGTAAAAACATCTAAAGATCTGAAGGATGGAAAATGAGCTCCATTCATTTTTTATGAGAAAAAAAAAGTGGTGGAAAAGACTAAATATTTCAAAAAGCTAAAGTTGCACCAATACCAAAAGTCATAGCAGGATTGTCCCGAAAGAGCTGAACGTGTTGATTTACGATTTGTTTGACAAGTTTCAAAACAATGCGCATGAAGCATTCACTATTACATCAAACTAAGGTTGTTCAAAGAGCTATCCACAACAGGTAAGATATTACTTGTTCATAACCATTTTCCATGGGCTCTAAACTATAACTTTAACAATTTTTAAATTACTGTTGTGGATAAACCACAAGCAGCAAACACACCCTGGGAAGTGGCAAAAATGATGAAACTCAGAAGAAAGGTGAAAGAAGATAAGACGAAAGGATAGAAGTCATCTTGACTTTTCCCTCTCAGTGGAGAGAGCTCACACATCACATGCTGTGTGGCAGAGGGCCGGATTCACATCAACATTTAAATATCGTCTAAATTACTCAGCAGATCTGCTCCGGTGGCGCTCATGTGCATGAATGAGAGCCTGTGTGCAGCTGAAGCCGTCTGTGTGAACCAGGGAGATAGGAGTAGTGAGACACTTTGGGGAAGTGGGTGTCAGCAGCTTTAATTACTCATAAACCTGTTGAAAGTGTTTGTATGTATGCAAATTGTATTGCATATGCAAAGAGGCACACGTATGTTTTTTTTAAATGCTTTCATATGTTTCTATCAGATAAATCTTTAAACGTCCATCTGTACAGGGGGTCAGTATCAGCCCATGCATTCCTAAATTAGCTCAGAAGACTGCCTGCTATTACCAGCGCTGGGCTAATCGAAGGCAATTTACATTGTGTCTGATGAGCAATTTTAAAACTGTCTCCCTGATGTTGATAGAAGGGAAGCCAAAAGAAAGGAAATGAGATGCGGGTTTAAAATAGAAGCATGCGATATTGCATGGCTTGAGATAAGAAAAAAGACGGATCAGAAACACTTTTCAGGAATCATAAAGAAAGGGTTGTTCTAAAGAAGGCGATGGTTGAACAGCCCCTCCATAAGTTGTATCTCTGCTGTGGCTCAGACTGGAAATACGACCTGCTGCAGATCGTGTGTCCTCCAGTTGCCTTCACACGCACAGAACATACGCAAAGATTCAAAACATGACAAATGTATATATGTAAAGGAAGAATGCAAAAGAAAGAGAAATGAGCATAAAGAAGTGCAAACATGCCAAAAGCTGCTCAGCGACAAATGAGTTAGTGTTTAATCTTGTAGGAGCCAGGAGCAAGAAGCAGCTGCTCAGAGAGGAGCAACATTTCACATGTTAACCTCTGCATACATGAGAGAATAATGGTAAACACAGACAGGTAGAGATGCATAAAATGAATGAATGGAGGCACACAATAAGAAACTAAGAAGCCAAATGTTGCCTCAAAACCAAGACATCTGTAGCCAGTGTGGCACTATATCAGTGCATGAGACTATCTACAACCCCTGAACAAGCTGGGACGTAATACAAAGCTCAGAAAGTACAAAAGGTAAGTGATTCAAAGAAAGAAACAATCTGGAGGAGTACCGTATTTTTCAGCTTATACTGTAAGTCATAGTTTTTGTTGCATGATTTGCATGCCCTACAACTTATACACCGAAATGACTTATTTATTTATTTTTCCCATATTTATAAACCGATTTTTGGCTGAGATATGATTGTTTTCATTCATTCTGACATTGAAAATATCGAACACTACAATTTTCAGCGGTGACACATAATAGATGCGACTTATACGGCGAAGCGACGTGTACGGCAGAAAATACGGTATTTTTTAAATAACTAGATTAATTGTTATTGTCGAGAGAGAGAGAGAGAGAGAGAGAGAGAGAGAGAGAGAGAGAGAGATTGTAAGAGCATTTTAATACAGCTGACTGTTTCAGAAGTAAAGACGGGCAGAGGTTCACTTCTGCAAAAAAATTAAATTCTACATCTAAAAATAGTGGAACAAATTCAGAATAATGTTCTTCAACCCCAAATTGAGAAGACTTGAAATATCCTACCAGCTTGTGTTCATTCCATCATTAAAAGATTTCAAGAATGTGGAGAAACCTCTGAGCTCCAAGGACATGACTGAAATGTTAAATGTCTGTGACCTTTGGGCCCTCGGGGGTCACTGCTTAAAAAACAGATTGGATTCTGTTCTGGATATCACTGTATGGACTGAGGAACACTCACACAAAGCTTTGTGTGCACAGAAATCTGCAAATGCAAGTTAAAGCTCTATCATGCAAAAAAAGAAACACCATCCAGAAACAATGGTGTCTTCTCTGACTGAGGCAAAGTGGAAAACTTTATTGTCAGAAATGAGTTATTTTTTTAAAGTGATGGAAGTGATAATCCTCTGCACTAATGAGGAGAGGGATCAACCAGTTTGATATTAGAGCACAGCTCAAAAGACAGCCTCTCTGACGGTATGGGGGTGCATTAGTGGCTATGGCATGGGCAAATTACACAGCAGGTCTTTTTCAGGGACGGCCATGAATATTTCAGCAAGACATTATTCAACTGCACTCTGCTTCCTTCACAACAGCTTCATAGTGGAAAGGTCCGAGAGCTGAACTGGTCCGCCTGCAGTCCAGACCTCTCACAGACAGAAAACAGTTAGCACATCAAGAAACAAAAACCCAGCTAAGAAGGGCCAGGACTGTGGAACAACAAGAATCCTCCATCAGATAAGGATGGGACAATGTTCACTCCAAAACCTCCAGCAGCTGCTCTCTTCACTTCCCAGATGTTTACAGACTGATGTTGAAAGAAGAAGCCCACCACTTTTGAAATGCGCTGCTTCCATTAAATTCAAAATTAGCTTATTTTCTTCTGAAAGCCAAATTTCTTTATTAAACATGTTTGTTCCACTGTGAACACAACTTTTTCAGAACTGGGTTTGTAAATTTTCTTCACAACTTTAACATGTTTTATCATTTAGGATAAAAAAAAACTACTTTTTTTGCTTGAAAAGAGTTTCTACTCTCACTGTGGGTGTTGTCTGGTGCTCACCGCCCACCACGTGAGCGGTTAAGTGTCTGGATTTACGAGCACTAACTGAAAAGATTTATCCTGCTTTTGCAGGGTCTAAATGATCCAGTCGATGTTTTGCCACTGCAGCTCTTGCTGCCTGAATCAATCCGGTAACCTTTCTGAAGTCAAACAAAACGCTCTGATGTGTGAAATACCGTGCAGATTCCCTGTCATATAGTAATTAGGTCTGGTATCCACTCACCAGCTCGATGAGCTCCTGGTAGCACACCTGTCCCTCTTCATTGCTCTGGACAAGAGCTAACAACATGTCCAACTTGGACGGGTCCAGCTGCAGCTCATGGTGCTCCACCAGACTGGTGAAGTTCTCCACTGGGATGAAACCGGTGTTCTCTGGGTCCAACTGGACAAAAAGAAATGAAAAACTCTGAGTAAATAGGGAATGATTCATTCAACCTTTATTTATACAAGTTAGTCTCATTGGACTCATTTACAAGAGAGACTTGTTTTAAACAAAGAACACAGATGAGGTACAGACAATAGACAATCATATAAAAAGCATATAAAATGAAAAGTAAATAGGAGAAATTATATAAAACCAAACCAAAAAACAGCTGCATTATAAAGCAATATACAAAACTAAAAACAGGAACATGTCTGTGTTAGTCTTTGCCATGAACTTAGCAGTTGTTTGAAGTCCCTTAGAGAGGTCAAGGTCAAGAACTTCAGATCTTTTTGCAAGATATGTCAGGTTACAGGAGTGGAGTAGGAGAAGGCCCTTTTGCCCAGTTCAGTCTGCATTGAGGGAACACTGCAGGTAATAATGTCCTGAGAGCGCACGCTGTAGCTGCACTCACGCAGAGACATGTAGGAGGAGATGTATGAAGGCAGCAGACCAAGAAGGGATTTAAATATGAAAATGTACCAGTGAGAGAGTCTGCATGAAGTTAATGATGACCAGTTAACCAGTGAATACAGGGTGCAGTGGTGGGTACGGTAGTTACAGCCAGTTATGAATCTTACTGCACCATGATAGACAACATCCAACATCTGCAGGGAGCTTGTAGGAGCGTTCATGTAAATAATGTCACCGTAATCAATGGAGGGAAGGAAAGTCACAGTTACAAGGTGTTTCTTACCATTCAGAGTTAAACAGGATCTATTTCTGAAAAAGAAACCCATTTTTACTTTCAGTTTCTTTACCAAGTTTTTGACATGGGGCTTAAAAGAGAGACGTGCATCGACCAAGATACCCAAGTATTTGTAAGAATCGACACTCAATAGGAGCACCATTTGAAAATAAAATAGAAAGAAGGGCTGCTGGTACCGACTTCCTGTTTGAAAACAACATCCGTTTGGTTTTGTCAACATTTAGCACGAGTTTGAAACGGAACAAATATGACTGCATGATGTCAAAAGCAAACTTTAAAAGCTGGAAAACCTTAGCAACTGTTCTAGCTCGACAATAAACAACTGTGTCGGCAGCATAGAAATGTAAGGATGCATCAGGGACCCACGTTACTTATGTAGATTGTGAAGAGAGTGGGTCCTAAGACTGAACCTTGTGGTACACCATTGTTAACAGTTAGATAGCTGGAAGAAGTACCATTATGTTGAACAGATTACCTCCGGTCTGAGAGTTAATTAGAGAACCAACCAACAGTGTGATCTAAGAAACCAATTTCTGAGAGCTTATGACATAAGATGTCATGATCCACAGTGTTAAAAGCTTTAGACAGGTCTAAATAAAGTGCAGCACAATAATCCTTAGCATCCAGTGCTAACGGATGATAAATGATAAATACAGCACATTTGTGTTCTTTTTTTAAGAGGCAATATCAAGTAAATTAGTAAAAACAAGGCATTGTATTCCTTGAAAGAACATTTATCATCCACCACCTTTCATGGCCGAATTATAAACTGAGAACATCTTACATTTGGAAATGACCAAGTTGTAAGAATTTTAGCCTAACGTTAAAAGTAAGGTTACAGATGATCTCACAATATCACAAGAGATATTGTGAATGACTCTCATCTACTACCACATCAAAATTTAGCTCACTTTCTATCAAACTGACTGAGCTGCAGCCATTTTTGTGTTGGCTAAGGTTGATTTCCAGTGACAGACATCTTAAATTGGTTCAAGGTTCTTTATTGCCATTTGCATCACATGTAGCACATGAGGTGGAATGAAACTGTATACTCAAGGTCCCAGAAGAGAAATTAGCTTGACTCCAAAAGTTAATCAGTTCCAAATGTACACACAGTAAGTATTTTCGGAGAGTTTCATTAAACATTGTCTCGTGGTTCTTGAGATATTTTACTAACAGACAACAAGGGTTAATGCTAGCAATTAATGCCCAAGTAATGATCTTGCACAAGGTGTGTCGTTTGATGACTCTCGGCTATGCTCACGCCAAATTCAAACACAACTTGTGTAAAAATTATGGCGTTATTTCCATTTTTGTGTTTGCTAAAGATGATTAGCTGTGGCGGACATCTTCAACTGAACTGACACCACAAGTAAACCAGTTGTGAGCATATGTCCAATGGTAACGTTCCAAGAATTTCACTCAAATCCATCCAGTTGTTCTTGAGATATTTTGCTAACACAGACAAAGAAAAGCAAAGGCAAAAATATTTTCGCCCACCTTCCAGAGATGGGCGATGAAGACATTCAAGATGCTTAAACAAGCAGAATAAATAAAGCCGAATGAGAAGAGCTCAGACCTTTATAGAAGTATTAATTAAGCTGTTACTACTTCATGATAGATGGGAGAGAATTAAAAGATAAGTCAGTCAGGCAGGGAGGACGTCGTTCATATTGGAAGCATTTACAAAGACAAGGTGGGGGGGGGGGATCCATTTGCATTAAATGAGGCAGATTCTGGGTCTTTGTTTCCACTGTGATGCATCACTCTGCTCTGTGAGTCTGTCCTTGGTGACAGTCGCAGCTCAGCTTCTATAATCAGCACCGAGGCTCACAAGCACGTGGCTGATTACCGCTGATGCCTGTGCAACTCCTCGTCATTGGTTTGAGAAGCAGAGTGTCAGAAAAACGACTTAGTCGTCGTCTAAAATGGCATGTTTTTTTTAAAGGCGTCTAATGTACAGGGAATGTATCGAAGCTTGGCCCATGATGCAATGCTTTATTTGAGGTGGCAGCTTATTCCACTTATTACTCCATTTTCTTCCCTCCTTTCTCCTCCTAAACGCAATTCAATAGCTCTTCAATGGAGCGTTAATTTCTCCTGCCAGCTTCCCTCTGTACATCTCACTGTGTTTGCTAAAATGTGCCGGAGGACAAAGTGAAGCGGTAGAAAAGAGACCGTACGGGAAGAGTCGAGGCTGCTTCTCATTTTAGCTGCTCCTGAAAGCGAACGCAGCCTCGTTAGTGTTTTTGGAAAAGTAAACCGACGGCGTCTTGTTGCTCCAGGGAGAAGCGAGCGTTCAGATGTGTCAGAGCGTCGTCAGTCATGGAGGATCATTGTCCACCTCGATGTCCACGAGAAGAAACATATAGACAGCGATGTTACACCAGCAGCTTCATGGGGCCGCCTCAGAGCCTTGAAGGAAGAGTTCATGTTAAACCCTGACTTTGTTTGTGTGACTCATTCTGGATGTGTTAATTGTTCATGAGCATTGATGAGGAAGTATCTGAGAGTCATCCTCAACACATACTTTGAGCATTAACACGCGTCGCAGGATGTTGCACGAGATTGAGCATGAAAAGCTCTGGCATGAAAGCAGGCAAGAGAGATGGATAATTTAATCCAGTTACTCTGCTTTTTCACATTCCAGTTCTCCAGTTCCATCTTCAGAGAAATGTTTGTGTTCCTCACGGGATGAGCCAGTGTTGTGTTAACTTAGCAAAGAGATGATTGGATAATTAGACTCCTTGTTCTGTTACAAAGAAACTAATTGTTCCAATTTATTTAATCAAATCCATTTAAAAACTAAAAATATCCCAGATTGACAGATAATACTGTATTTTTACACCAACACAGATTCCCAAACAGCTCTTAACTCAAAAAGTTGTCCATGATTAGCTGAAAAATGATCCTGGTGTCAGGTCTTAGCTAAATCGATCCACCTGTTTTCAAAGACGTGACTTTCAGATTTTGTGCATCTGTTGTAAAACTTTATTTTTGTCTTCAGCTTTTCTCATTTTGAAACTCACACTGCACAACATCCTGTCATGGTCAGGCACAAAAACTACAGACAGAAAATGAAAGGAAAAGGGAGACAAAATGCACATAAACTTGTAAATAAAATCTTCAGAAAGATCATATTAAATGTTACAAAAGTCTGGCTCACTGGATGCAAAATACAAAGAAATACGGAGGTTTAAACCTCCTGTAAAGTTCTGCACTTTCCCCAAAACTTTTCAATTTAAGGACAATTTTCACACATCAGACAAACTCTGATGGGTTGCACTTGGTTGCAATCTTAAAACAGCCTGGGATACTCATAAAGCTGAGTATCTGATGAAAATGAACCAAGACAGGAATGGAGAAAAGCCCATGTCTATTTTTAGATAATCTCCTTTACTCTGTGCTCCATGGATATTTGTTAAAACACGGTCGTTGTTTGTCCCCTGAGAAGAACTGAGCAACATGGTGCTCGCGTCCTCGTCGTTTGATTTGTGTAATGTACACCAGAGTGACACGGGGGCAACATGGCTGGAGAGAAAGCACAATAGTAAAAAAAAAAAAATTAATAGTGTTCCTTAAAGGAATGTATAGCACCCTTCAATTTTCACGCCAGATTATGAGACTCAGTCTCATTTTTAGCTGAGATGGTGTAGAGGCAGGGCAGCCAACTCAGGACCCGAAGGTCCTGGGTTTGATTCCCAGTCATTGCACATCTCGTGGTGTCTCTGAGCAGGACATCTCATCCCCAGTTGCTCCCCGGGTGCTTTCAATAGCTGCCCACTGCACCACCTGGTAGTGGACGAGTTAAATGCAGAGAGCCAATTTCGCCATTGTATGGGAACATACAATGATGACAATACATACATATTATTATTATTATTATTATTATTATTATAATGTTGCTTGAAGGAATGCATATCACCCTTCAGTTATCATGCCAGATTATGAAACTCAATCTCATCTTGAATAGGGCTCCTTGAAGAAATGCATATCACCCTTCAGTTCTCACGCCAGATTATGAGACTCAATCTCATCATTTACCGAGATGTCAGCATGTGTTGCCAACACTTCAAATGTTAGCCCAATATCTGCAAAACTGCCCAAGTTGTGTTAGACTTACTGAGTAGCGGAGGCAGCCATCTTTATTTGAATTGACTCCAGACGTTAATCTGTTGTAAAGCGACATCCAATGAAGTGTTCAAAAAAATTTATCACGTGGTTGCTGAGATATTTTGCTAACAGGCACAGG